GTATACTTAGATTCCATGTAAGCCTTTCATTTTAGAAAAACCTACAAAACAACACAGTAATATTCAAGCATAACTCTTTGTATTTTTTGAATAAAATTCAATAAAAAAATACAAATCAATGAAGCAGAGCGGCCAACATTGAAAACAAGAGCTTTCAGCTTGATGCTAGACTTGAATTTCAATATGTTTGTCGCATTTCTTAATTGGGTTTTCAAATAGATTTAGGATTCAAAAAGGGGTCAATTGGATTAGTGTTGATGTTTAATTGTTTATCAAGGAGAAAGCCAGAAAAGAGTCTTTCAAATGGGCCAGCTGGTTCAGGCTTCTAGGTCAAGTGAATATTTTACAAATTTGGGAAAGGGGATCAAGATTAGTTTTGGCTTTGAAGCGGATTTGAGTTACAGTTGCATAAGGAGTTTTTTTCTTGCTTCAAAAAGAAAAATATATGGAATTATTTTCCTTTTAAAAAAATGACATGGCAGTTAGGTGGCTTAAAATACTTTGATTATAGAAATAAGGTTCAAAGTACCTTATTTTAAGAATAAAGATTTTAATCTATCTTACCATAAAAACTCCAAAGTAGATTACTAAAATTCAATGTAATCTTTATTTTTATTATTTTTTAATTTTGAATCTCATTCATAACTCAAACTATTAAAAAAATAAAATTATAGTTTTATTTTTATATTAAAATAGTTTTAAACCCATATTATGCACAGATAAGCAAAAAATTATAATTTTCATTATATATAATATTATTAGTGTTAAAAGAATCGCATGAGTAAAATATTAAAAAGTCTATACTGGCAAAATAAATATGTGACTATATTTAACATACCCACTTTTTTTTTTTTTAAATTGGAAAGTTAAGTTTTGATTTCTATTGAATATTTAAGAATATTATGTAATTTCAAAAAATTTGAGTAAAGAAAATTACTATTTTTTCAATTCAAAAAATTAATTGTCAAATATTATTTAAAAATTTAAAGTTTTATATTTGTGTTATGCACAAACCAAGTGTATCTATAATAATTTTTAATATAATATTATTTCAAAGTTTAATATAATTACAATTTTATAGAAAAATTTAAGTTTTATTTTCATGATTATAAATATATTGACAATGGTTGGTAAAAATTTAAGTTACCCTAAATAATTTTTTTTATATTTTATTTACAATGTAATAAATTACCTTGATTATTAAAAATAAAATTATAAAGGTACAAAAAAAAAGTGTGATATAGATTTTTTTTTCTTAATCAAAAAGATAATTTCATTCATAAAACCAAAAGATTACAAAATTTACGTTATGGTTGGATAGATATTAATAAAGGAAAGAAAAGAAAAGAAAATTTTTTAAAGGAAAAGAAAATGTATATGTACCATTGTTTTGATAGTTAAAATTAATAAAGGAAAAGAAAAAAAAAAATTCTAACAACCATTATTTAGATAAATAGTAAAAAAGAAAGAAAATAATTCATTATAATTTTTTTTCAATTATAATATATTTTTTTATAAAGTAACATATAATATACAAATATACTTTATACTACATGACTTGAATAAACAAATATTTTTGAACAAAATTGAGCATATTTAATATAATATGATGTATTAGCTAGTTATTGATTTACTATTAATTTTGTGTTTAATTTAGCATTTTAATTTATTCTGACAATAATTTGACTTATTTTGTTGTTAAGACTTAAAAAATTATAAAATATTTATAAATGTGATGTTATATAAAATACTCATAAAAGAAAATTATCTTTGTAAAAGATGTCAATTATGTAATCAAATATAATATCAAAATAAAAATATGAATATAATAATTTTTTCATAAAAATAAATTTTTTTCAAATTTTCTTTCCTTATTCTTTCAAATTGAGATATTAAAAAAAGTGAAAATTATAAAAAAAATTAAAAGTTATTAGGTTCTCACTTCTTTCTTTTCATATAAATTAAAAGTTTATACACACAAATGAAATGTTTTTATGTTTTTATTACTTTCATTTATTTCCTTTCTTTTTCTTCACCTCCCCTCAATCCAAACATAATGTTAAAGAATCTTACTAAAGAAGGCTCCAATACATAAACAAAAAAACAATTGTAACAACATCTAATAATATATAAATCTAATTTATTGAAAAAAAAAAGATAATATACTCAATCTAACCCCCTTGTAGTTCGCTACCAATAGACATAAAATAATTATGTTTTTTTTCACTTTCGTCTTCGTTAAAGAATCAGTAAAATAGTTTGCTACGTTTCTTCTTTAAAAGAATGGATAAAATCAATAATATCATTTTTTACTTATAACAATTAAAAACTTTTCACTCCTTCCAAGATCATGAATCTATATTAAATATATAAACTATAAAAGCATTTTAAAATCAAATACCATATATATTTACTTAATTTTAAAATGATATAAATAATTAATTATAGAAAGATACACGTTTAAAAAAATTAATATGGAAAAATTTTTATATTACTTGTGAAATTTTTTTGTAATATTAATATGTTAAATTTAGAACTTAATTGTATGTATGTTTTTTTCTAATTGATGAAAGAGTTGTATTAATATATATATATATATATATATATATTATATTATATTATATTATATTCTAAAAGGAGTTGAACTTATATTAAAATCAAACTATTGGCATTTTATTTCAATATTGTGTGTGTTTTTGTTATGAATTAGAGGTATATCAATATGGCATATTGAAATGTTTATCTATCTAAAAAAAGAATTGAATTAATAATATTTATCTAAAAAATAAAATATAGAAGAATATAGGAAATTGGGTGTAAGAGTTTCAATTGTGGTTTGAGTATTTCTAAAATTTTAGCACTTGTTAAATGAAATAGGTGATAAATTTCACAAAATTGAGAAATGTGTTTTATTTTTATAAAATTAGTAAAAATTACTAACTATCATCCTTTATGTCATCTAAAGCTTTATTCATTGAGAACTTAGAAAACAAATTTTCCATTTTGAATTGAAACTAAGGCATATTTAGCCATGTCATAATTAATTGTATCATTTTAAGTCGATTTGGCTTACAATACAATATCTGATAATCCTTATGATTTAGCTCCCAACCAATACATAGCCGACAAGTATGGTGTCATCCAAATTAATTAATTATCCTTGGCATCTGATCGTAAAGCCTTACAAATCAACATAAGCTTATTTGGTAACCGTCTAAAATAAAACAAAATCATTAAACCTCTGCTAATTAATAACTTGCAAAAAAAAAAAAAGAGTCTCTAGCAACATCATATTCAACATATATATATATATATATATTAAAGATTCGTCTTTATATTATAAATTATAAAAAAATTATACTAAAATGTATAATTGATAAAATTGCTATTCTAAAAATAAAACCTAACAATTGAACAAACAAAAAAAAAATGATAAAACCTTAATAAACTTATAAAAAATAGTAAGCAAAACTATAAAATAAATTTCTTATAAGATAATAAAGACAAAATTGCAGTAAAACAAGATTAAAGAATAATTAAATTCGATTTACTTAATATTCTTTTTGGAAGAATATTTGTATTTATATTATTATTAAGAAACATTATCATAAATGTATTAAAAAGTTATTATTGTTAACCGTATAATGTAATATATAATAAAATACATGAAATTAATGCGATTTTTTTTTCAAAATTACAGAAAAAAAAATAAAATCTTCTCTAATTTAATGAAATCATTATTGTCAACCCGTTAAATAACTAATTTTTCTTTCCTTATTTATTACATTAAATGTCATTTAAATTTTCACGAGTAATTAGAAGAAATGGAAATATATTCATGAGTAATTAACTTTTTATTTAGTTTCTATTTTTATTTGTATTATTGATCAAATTAATTAAAACTTAGTCATATAAGGTAAAAATATTGAATATTTAAAAGATAATAAATGTAATTAATTTAGTCTAACTAATTATTTTTTAAGTAATAAAAATGTTATTATACAAAATAATAAAAATATTTTAAATAAATAAAATACATTTATTTTATTTATTAAAATACATAGGGTAATTTTTTAAATTTATCTATACCTCAAAAATATAAATTATCCACATTGAATTATTTTTTTATTAGAAATTTTAACTTTAATATATTTATATAGAACAATTGCATTTAAATTGATATAACATTTTAACTAGAATACAACTGTTGACATTGACTAAAAATTTAGAAACAATTACATTTCTAATGAAGGGGTAGTAAGCAACTACATTTCCAATGAAGGCGTAATTGCTATAAAAAAAAAGTGTCAATTGCACCAACACCACAATGGGCATCCATGATGCGATACGGATGGTGGCTTCTAGCCACTGATCAATTTTGATCCAGTGGTTTATAGGCTTTTTTTTTTTTTTGTTATTTTTATTCTTTAAATAATATTGTATTTACAAAATATCCCTTTATAATAATTTTTTTACTTTATTTTTTATTTAAAAACTGGAAACTAAATTTTTTTATTTTAATACAATAAAAAATATTTTTGATATATTATTATTTTTATTAATTTTTAATTATTTATTAACTAATTATTATTTAACATAAAAATAATTTAATAATTTTAATAATTTATTAATTTATAAATATTAAGCATTTAAATTTTGTATTGCATAAAATTTTTAATTTAATATAATATTTTTTTACTATAATTTATCTCATTTCTATTATTATTTTTATATTCAAATATAAATACTATCATTAATTCTATTGTTATTAATATAATCATTAATTTCACATACATCATTACTTTCATTTTTATATCGTGAATTAGCTTTTAAGTTTTCCAACCTCTTTGGAGAATCGGCGCATCTCACAAATAAAAAATCAATTTGTGATAAATACTGAAGCCAATCAAAATTATATAAAAGGGCCATGATATTGGACTATTGGTGGCACAACTGGCAAATAGCAATCACCTTCATACTCTCATTTAGATTTACCTTGAAGATTCCGTGTCCAAAAGTATCTCCTTTTTTCTCGTTAATACATATTTTCTTAGAACTTTCCATTTTATCTTTGATCGTAATGTTATTATATTAGGTCGTGTTGCCTATTTCTTTTTTTAGTTTTAATTTTTTTTTATTTAAAGCCACCAACCAAAAGGCCCTTTTCTCACCCCTCTCTCCCTCTTTCTAGTTTTCCTCTATCTCTGTTCCTGCCAAAGTAGCCAGCAGCAGCACGGCAGCGGTCGCCATGTCTCTCCTTAGTGATCTCATCAACCTCAACCTCAGTGATGCCACTGAAAAGATCATAGCTGAATACATATGGTAGTCTAGCTCTCTCTCTCTCTCTCTCCCTCCCCCTCCCCCTCCCCCTTCCCCTTCCTTCCTATTTATACAATCTCAGAACAATTGCTAATATTTTTAAACACTTCCTTATTCTATTCAAGGATCGGTGGATCTGGTATGGACTTGAGGAGCAAAGCTAGGGTGTGTTTCATTGTACAAACTTTCATTCTGTTGAATATTACTTTCTGGGTTTTAAAAATTTATTTTCTTTTACCCAAAAATAACATATTGGTTTCTACAGACTCTGCCTAAACTAGTGACTGACCCTACAAAACTCCCCAAATGGAACTACGACGGTTCGAGCACGGACCAGGCCCCCGGAGACGACAGTGAAGTTATTTTGTAGTACGTTTTGTTTTGATTTTTCATCAAGATCATGGTTTCCAGATTTGATTTTTACTCTTTCAAGTTTTTGATTACAAATTATAGAATGATGATCGTTGTCTTATCTGTAATTTTGACTGTCTCAGCCCACAAGCGGTTTTCAAGGATCCCTTTAGAAGAGGAAACAACATCTTGGTAATTAATTCTTACACGTTGCTTTTTCTATTTCGTCCCGTGATTTTAAGGGTAATTCTGTCTAGATATTTTATCTCGAAAACAGAGTCAGGAGGGGTAATTCTGTCTTTGCAAATGCATAACAGGTGATGTGCGACGCATACACCCCTGCCGGCGACCCCATTCCCACCAACAAAAGATTCAATGCGGCCAAGATCTTTAGCCACCCTGACGTCGTTGCTGAGGAACCATGGTAATTTTTCTTTACCTTTTCTTACATTTTGGGAATTTCGTTAATTAATCATTTTTAGCAACCGCTCTTTAAAAATGGAAATTAAAAAAAAAAAAAGAATGGCATTCCGAAATTCAAAATCCAACCTGGAATCTCTTCCGTATTGTTAAAAAAAAAAAAAGGAATATACGGGACCAGTAAATATCAACTGTCGGTCACAATTAGAGTTGAAATCGAGTCGAATTAGAGTTGTAATCGAATCGAATTGATACAGTAAAAAATTTAAATTTAATTTTTAATTCGAGATTTGATACTTGATTCAAATTCGATTGAGTTTTATTTTATTCGATTCGTTATCAAAATCGAATTACTCGGATTCGTTCGATTAAACTCGATTAATATGTTAAAATAAATTCAATTTTTATATTTGACAAGAGTTTGATTATTTATGTTCGAACTCGAATTTGAGATATTTTATTAATTAAAATAATAAAAAATTTTAAATATAAAAATTCGATTAAGTTCGCGAGTCACTCGAATTAGATATAAAAATACTTAAATTTGACTCGATTGATAAGTCGAGTTATTTGAACTCGAACTCGATTTAATAATAATCGAATCGAATTTAAATTTTATTCAAATTAAATATAAATAATTTATGAGTATTAATATATCATTTATATTTTTAATCAGAACTGATTAGGTGGTTTCGTACATTCATCGAATAAAAGTTGCAATTAGAAAATGAGTTTGGCTTCGCTACTCTTAACAACTTTTATTTCTAATTTGTTTTTTTTTTTTAATTAGGAACCGACCCATATTATCTACAAATAAATAATTAGTAACAATGTTTAAAATTTTTCAAAACTGAAGTGACCATTTTCTTTGAGTAATTTAAATATTATTTTCCTTAATTCACTTGTACAATGTTCATTAGTATATATTTATATATTTTTCATACGCAAATTTTTTTAATTTAATACCAAGGAATAATCATAGCATGATGCATACCACTTTGTTATGTACGAAGCCAACGGCGAATACAAACAGTAGGCCAATAATTAAATTCGTAAAATTCGGACACTTGTGAATATCTTTCCAATGATACGTGTCGTATTTATATATTCCCATTGGGTTCAACCTCGCTTGCTCTGTGTGCAAACTGCAGAGGGCGAATTGGATGGATTCCTTTTAGATAAGATTTTTTTTTTTAATTTATCAAGTACAAATTTATTTTTTTAAATATACCGTAAGAATTATTATAACGGCTGCTTCCCGCTTGTTTGATCGCCTTTGTCTAAGCTGTGCCTGTCATAAATAATCAATTTCCTTTTTCTAAGAAACAAAATAATAACAAATCAAGAAGACAAAGATCCTTTTTTTTTTTTTTTTGATTGAACAGAATAAATCTTTTGCTTTACTAGTATATTTAGGTGTTCACCTAATCAATTAGTCAACTGGTATCTCAATCTTGTACCTAACTTTGGGTTGGGCTTGGCAGTGCTAATGATGAAATCGGTGGTTCAAAGTCAGCTAACTCATCTCTCTCATCCTTTTATTTTTCTGTAATCTTTTCTGTATGATAAAGTTACTCTCCTTTTTTATTATTTCACATCACTAGTTTGATTACTCAATTTCACTCTATGTTAATTGAAAATTCTATATAATGAAATCAGGTATGGCATTGAGCAAGAGTATACTCTTCTTCAAAAGGATGTTCACTGGCCGGTTGGATGGCCAATAGGAGGGTTTCCCGGACCGCAGGTACAGATATCACACTGCTGTTTTTGATTAACATCCTGTTTAACCAAACTGTAAATAATGCTGTACTACTCTAAGCTCTTGATTTAGATTCATTGGACTTGATCAACTAAAGCAAGTTTTGTTATCCATGCAGGGTCCCTACTACTGTGGAGTAGGTGCTGACAAATCCTTTGGCCGGGACATCGTGGACTCCCATTACAAGGCTTGCCTTTATGCTGGCATAAACATCAGTGGAATCAATGGTGAAGTTATGCCTGGTCAGGTGCGTTTTGTTCTTTGTTTGAAGGCTGTTTTTATTTGATGGAACTTTATTTTCCATGAAATATCTATGGTTTTATCTGGTCTTGTTCTTGTGTAAACAGTGGGAATTCCAAGTTGGTCCATCTGTAGGGATTTCTGCAGGGGATCAACTATGGGTTGCTCGATACATTCTCGAGGTACAATCCATAGACTGGTGTATTTAGTTAATGAATTTGGCTTTCAAGGAATGTGTTATAACATCTTTAATTTTCTTGTTCAAACAGCGAATCACTGAAATCGCAGGAGTGGTTCTTTCTTTTGATCCCAAACCAATTCCGGTTTGTTTCAATGCTGCAATCTGATTCCTTGTCCTTGATTTTCTTTTAGCTATTGTTCTTGGTCTATTTCTTTATCTTTTTTCCCTTTCTGCATTTCTTTTCCACAATCAGGGTGACTGGAACGGTGCTGGTGCTCATACTAACTACAGGTAGATGCCAAAATCAATGTGTTCTACATGTTTTACGAATTATATTCTCTTCGACACAGGGAAGAGTAAATTTGTTGAAATAAAATTTTCTCTCAGCACCAAGTCAATGAGAAATGATGGCGGCATCCATGTGATCAAGAAGGCGATTGAGAAATTGGGTTTGCGCCACAAGGGGCACATTGCTGCCTATGGAGAGGGTAATGAGAGACGTCTAACTGGTCGTCACGAGACAGCAGACATCAACACATTCTCCTGGGTAAGTTGGCACCATATTAGCATTTAGCATCCTTTCTGTAACAAGTTCAGAATTGCATTGATTCTCTTAATATTTTTCATAATTGCCATACAATATATCTCCATTTTCTTATATCTAAGACTATTTTGCTTGCAATGTCCAAACGCCAGGGTGTTGCAAACAGGGGAGCCTCCATCCGTGTTGGTCGTGACACCGAGAAAGCTGGAAAAGGTAACCATTTTTTTTATTTTCGTGATTTCACATTTCTTGAATTCCTGGTTTTTTTTTTTTTACAAAGGTCATCCTAGTATTAGATAACAGAAGGGGTTGTTGGATGTCACTTCTTGCGTGAATCAATTGAGTAAACTCCTGTCTAGGATTCTCCTTGCATTTAAAATAACATTCGTGGTCATGTAATTCACAGGCTACTTCGAAGATAGAAGGCCAGCATCCAACATGGATCCCTACGTTGTTACATCGATGATTGCTGAAACCACCATTCTCTGGAAGCCTTAAGAGGGGGAGGAAACTGGAGCTTTGGAAGATGAGAAGGAAGAACCTACATCAGATTAAATCTCTATTAATAACCCTCTCATCTTCTTTGTTGGGCGAGCGGGTGGAACTAGTGTTTTATTGCTTTGAATTGCTGGGTTGCCATTTAACTTGTGTTGATTTTTCCTTTTAGTTTATAGTCTTTTGGTTCTGCTGATTGTTGGAGCAAACGAACTTATGGTCTGTTAAATAAAAAGGTTGTTGATTTAAATTATGGCAGAGATCTTACTTGCCATTTTACTATGGTTTTGGCATTAAATTCAGTTCACAAGCCAACGGGGTCTTTGATGATGGAATTGAAAGATATGATCGTAATAAGTAGAGATACGGACGTGAAGCTAGACAGTTAACACCCAGATATCCGTTTACAACAGTCTGGTAAGATGCCCACATGAAGCAGTTGGTTGCTTGGCAGCCATAAGAATAGCAACTTCTTTTATTAAAAAAAACAAAAAGCTGCTTCTCGATTTCCAGAGTCGGTTAAATGGTTCGAGCATATATATATTTATTTATTTTTAGGCTCCGAAAAATGATTTATAAAAATTGATTTTTAAAAAATATTTATATTTTTTGAATTAAAAGAGATTTTTTATTATTTGAATGAGTTAATAAATAATGTTTTTCGTTATTTAGTTGTTTTATGAAAAATCTGTTTTTTTTTTTCAAATAATATTAATAGAACTATTAAAATATTAAAAATTATTTATTATTAAAATTATTTATATTAAAAATAATTATATTTTAATAATATTTAATATTAAATTAAAATATTATGTTAATATAAAACACTTAAAATAAAACTACTTATTATTTTTTATATTATTTAGTAATATATTATAATAATATTCATTAATATATTATATTAACAGTATATTATTTATTAATAATATATTAATAAAAATATATTATTATAATATTTATTAATTAAAGTAATAATATTTATTATTTTATTTATTAATATAACATTATTATTTATTAATATAATATTACTTATTAATATATTATAATACATTGTTATTAATATAATATTTATAAGTAAAATTATCCTAAAAAATATTAATAAATAATTCTACTCAACCATTTTCGAAAAATATCTTCTTTTCCAAATCATAAAATAATTTTTAAAAAAATAATCTCATTTTTTATTAATTAATAAATTATTTTTCGTTTATTAATTAATTTTCTATCGAACAAATAACTAAAATTGTGAAAATCATTTTTCAAAAATGATTTTTCATGAAACAAAAGAAAACTTACAAAAGATGGATATAGTTTAAATTATCATTCGTATCATCATTATTTTTAATTTTGAAATAAATTTACTTATTTTTTAAAATTTAAAGTTATTAAAGAATAATCAACAAATAATTCTATTAAAAACTATTTTAAAATTCAAAAATAATTTTGAAAATGGTAGAAAAAACAACCATGGAATTAAAATTTGATAATTCAGTTTTTTATTCCATCATGATTCTAATGCATATAACTAAATCATTTTTTTTTCAAAAAACAGAAGATAAAACCATACTAATTAAAAAATTAATGATAAATTTAAACCATTCATACGTCATCTAAAAAATTCAACTTCTCTTGGCTTAAAAAAAAAGGGAAGAAGCAGACAGTACGTCATCTCTTAGTTTTGGGTCTTGGATAAATAACAGTTAATCCATAAGATGTTAAGGGTGATTAACCAAAGATAATAATTGCATAAAACAGCAAAGAAAAACCAGGATATTGCGATGTTTTTGGTAAGCTGACATGTGTTTCTTGTCACCTAAGCCTCCAGTTTGCCTCAATCCACCTCCATGTAGCGTACAAACCAATCACGCGAAAGATAATGCACAACCACATAAAGAAGTCAATTACACAACGGCATGAATCATGATCAACCATAGCATTCCATCCAAGCACTTCGAATGCATTCTTATTATATCAGATCCGCAACATTCATTGGCATTTCGTCTATCTGGGTACTATAATACTGCTCTATATCTCTAAGAATCTTGATGTCATCACTTTTCACAAAATTAATGGCAACACCCTGCATGGCAACAATACGATCAAAAAAGAAGAAAAAAAAAAAAACCTATAAAACACCCCGAAAGTGGCCATTTTTTTTGCAAATAAAAGAATCCAAAGATGAATCAAGAACATACAAAATATTTTCTTGTAAACATGAAACATTGTCGGGGCCTTAAAATGAATTAAATCTTTTATTCAACTGTGTATCCATACCCAATTGAAGGTGGAGTGGGATCTTAAAAATCTTTTGAAATTATATGCAATTGATAAAATAAACGGAAAACTTAGTTAGAAACACTAGTTTCATCACATAATCAAATTACATAGTCAAAGGAATACCTTCCGTCCAAAACGACCTGAACGACCAATCCTATGGATGTAAAGCTCTCGATTGTTCGGCAGGTCATAATTGATCACCAGGGACACCTGAAACAGCAAAGTAAATTTAGTAAAATATGTGGAAACGAAAAACCTTCTAAAGCAATAGACAATTATCACTTTTCGTTTTCCCACCTTTTCCCCCTTGGATTAAGCAAGAATGTTGAAATAAAAAACAAAACAAAATGACATGGACGTAATTCTTATGTAACCTTAATCTCAAGGCATTTCATGCACACGCCACACAGGAAGTAGACTCATGCCTTCAGGTTCCACTACCACTACGATACATAACCGGTCTCCGAGAAAATAAGACCTGACTATTATACTTGCATCAAGTAATATTTTCTTGTCTGAAAAAAATATAAACATATGCTAGACTAGAAATCAACCAAGCAAAAATACTCCCAGAGTGGGGAAACGAAAAGCCCCCCAAAGACTTGCCTGTTGAACATCAAGCCCCCTGGCCCAAACATCTGTTGTGATAAGAACACGGGTTGCACCATCCCGAAACTCAGCCATGATCGCATCTCTTTCCCTCTGAGGCATATCCCCATGCATTGATGATACTGTAAAGTTATTGCTACGCATCTTCTCAGTTAGCCAATCAACCTATTGCAAAAGCAGAAATCACAAAGACAAGCCTCAAGATCACAGCATGAAGTCCAAAATCTTGTATAAAAGAATTACTTAGGAATGCGGTTAAAGAGGTTTCTGTTTCTATGTTGAAAAGCAAATGCATGCCTATGAGACTCAAGAAGATACCTTTCGTTTCGTATTGCAGAAAATAACAGCTTGGGTGATTGTCAATGTATCATAAAGATCACATAGTGTATCAAACTTCCACTCCTCTCTTTCAACTGCAACGAAAAACTGCTTAATTCCCTGTAATCATAAAAAACAGAACAAAAGTTTGCATCAAACACCAAATTAGAAGTTGTGGAAATCTCGTTTACATAATAGCATTTGGCTACCTCCAGTGTCAACTCATCACGCTTCACGAGGATCCTTATAGGATCAGTCATAAATTTGCTCGTAATTTCCAAGATTTCATGAGGGAGGGTAGCAGATATCAAACAAACCTACAAGAATCATTAGTTTAAAATCAATTTCAACAACATAAACAAACTCTGATAAGGAGGAAAAGAGAGAAAACAAAGCCTCGTAGCTATACTACAGATGCAAGAATGTCGCAAGATAGCAGCAGCGAGACAAGTCAAAAGCATCAAAACAGCCCAAATTTCAATCATGAAATTAAAAATAAAGCAAGAAAACAGTAAGCAACACAAATTTGTAGTACTTAAGAACTTTACAACTGTCGTAGGACTTTCCATGTTTGGGGGTTTTTGAAAGCATGGGAAAAAGCACTAATAAAAAATAATAAGACAAACTTGATCAACAAGGAAAGACAAGTGAGAAACGAACCTGAAGCTCTGGTGGAAGATGTCTGTAAACATCATAAATTTGGTCTTTGAACCCTCTGCTCAACATCTCATCAGATTCATCGAGAATCAATAGTTTAATAGCCCTCGTACGTAGGGTTCTCCTCTTGATCATATCACAGACTCTCCCAGGAGTTCCCGACACTACATGAACTCCGTTTTCTAGCTTTCGTATATCTTCACCCACACTTTTGCCTCCAACACACGCATGTGCTTGTATGTTCATGAAATCACCAATTGTCCGTATCACTTTCTCCGTTTGAGATGCCAGTTCCCTCGTCGGCGACAAGATCAATGCTTGAACCCTTTGATAATGCCAGTTAGCATTATAAAAATTGCAGATGCAACGACAATTCATGCTTCAGAATAGATATAATAAATTGCCGATTAATCCTAAAAACTAGGAAATCCGACACGAGATTTGAAGCCTCAAGGACCTAACCTAATTTACCATTTTCAATAGCATTATTTTACGTTTTTATAGAATGTATTTCAAATTTAGGGTTTTAGCAATCAGGTATTTAGGAATTAGGGCTTCCACAAAAAAATCCCTGAAATTAATCTCACAGCACATTCAAACCAACACAAAATGACTAATTTTAATATATAAAAAAATTAAATAAAAGCATACTCTCTGCTAGCGGTGTCGACCACTTGGCAAACAGTGAGGGCGATCATGGAAGTTTTGCCGGTACCAGACTGGGCTTGCGCAATAACATCGCGGCCGTTGATTATCGGCATCACCGCTCTCTGCTGGATGGCCGATGGCTTTTCGAAGCCGTAATTATAGATTCCACGGAGGAGATCGTCTTTTAGCCCCATCTGATCGAAACTCATTATCGGCTCGATTCCTTCCGTCGTCTCGAACACTAGCTTCTCATCCTCGGCTCCCATCCGCCGAGCAGCTCGGCTTGTTGTCGCCGCCGCTGCCATCCCTCGGTTTTTTGGCTCTGGCTAAGCTCTCGCTTGAAGGAGAAATTTTAAAAAATAATAATAAAGGTTTCGAAAGAAAAGGGATAAAAAGGCGGGTTTCAAGCTTCTGTGGAGATAGTAATTAATAGCTATTGCTAGGGTTTTATATGTTTAGTATACCAACAAACTGTGGGTTTTCTCATAATACAACTTTATTTAACCATTCAAATGAAGCCACGTGGAATTTTGACGGTCACTTTTTATGTGGATGTGACATGCAAGATGATATATCTTGTTTCAGTTACTCCAATCAGTGTCTGCCACGTTATACTAAAAATTATACAATATGGCATACTTAAAGTAAGAGAAATAAATCCAATTACAATGTAAATTCTACTTATTTCATCATCGATTACTAATGGCATGCTTTAAATTCCTCTTCAGTTGCTAATGATATGGT